AGGATCACGTCCTCTCAGCTCCGAGTCTTCACACCTCCGATCACGTCCTCTCAGCTCCAGGTCTTCACACTTCAGGATCACGTCCTCTCAGCTCCGGGTCTTCACACTTCAGGATCACGTCCTCTCAGCTCCGAGTCTTCACACTTCCGGATCACGTCCTCTCAGCTCCAGGTCTTCACACTTCCGGATCACGTCCTCTCAGCTCTGAGTCTTCACACCTCCAGATCACGTCCTCTCAGCTCCGGGTCTTCACACTTCCGGATCACGTCCTCTCAGCTCCGAGTCTTCACACTTCCGGATCACGTCCTCTCAGCTCCAGGTCTTCACACCTCCAGATCACGTCCTCTCAGCTCTGAGTCTTCACACTTCCGGATCACGTCCTCTCAGCTCTGAGTCTTCACACTTCCGGATCATGTCCTCTCAGCTCTGAGTCTTCACACTTCCGGATCACGTCCTCTCAGCTCTGAGTCTTCACACCTCCGATCACGTCCTCTCAGCTCCGGGTCCTCACACTTCAGGATCACGCCTCTCAGCTCTGAATCTTTACTCGTTATGTGACCAATCTAACTCACCTCACCCAGACCTAAGCAGCCTCACATGAAGCACACACCTCACACAGCTTAGAGCCTCACAAGTCCAGCCACGCACAGGGCACCTGTGAGAGCACTGGTCATCAATGATCAGCAGGCTGTAGCACTGGCTAGATACCTGCCTATAACCACAGGAACCAAAGCAGCCCCTAACATGCAGTGGAGAGGCAACTCCCAAAGCCCACAACCTACCTCCAAAGAATGTGAGGGCTTCTCTCACCTCCTAGGTGGGTACCTGGGCTGGATCCACCATGATCACAGGATATCCCCTAAGAGGTATGGGCTAGGTAGGGGGCCTATGACCTGAGGCTGGAATGTGTCATGCAAAATTCATACTTTTAACACAATGTCTGTTCTTCTGTAACAATTTTTATATTTAAACTATTTTAAAAGTATAAGAACTGTGCATTATTTAATGGCTTACTATCACTTACTAAATGGAAGTTACTTAGAATGCTTCTCATGCTTAGGACATCTATATATACTGTAATATGCTGAACCTCTTGGTTGGGACAGGACAGTACTCGGGCGCTTGGGTGCAGCAGACCCAGTCAGTACCTTGTACAGGGCAGGGCAGTCTCAGGTGCTGGCCGACCAGCCGCATGCACTCAGCATCCATGAACTCAAACGCAGACAGGATCTCACCCAGCATGGACTTGCAAGAGCGGAAGGTCTCCAAAACTTCACTGAAGCCTGGACAGCCTGCAGCAGGTGAGAGAGCATGCATCAGGATGGACAGGACAAGGATGGCATATGGGGCCATATGGTGATGGGCAACAGAGCCCCGCTAGCAACAGCCCCACCTAGACTTCCTGGCAGCAAGTTCACACCACAGGGAGGAGAGGTGCCTTGGAGGACCATGCACTAGGCAGCAAATGTGCCTGCCAATGTACAGACTAGCACAGCTGCCCCAGAAGGCAAAGGACAGTCAGACAAAAGGGGTCCTCAGGAGCACCTGTGGAAAGTCTACTGGATGACCAGAGGAGCAGCACTCTCCCCACTGTCTCAGATCGAAAGGGTCTTTGGGGCATGAAGCACCTATGGAATCTGCCAGGCACTCAGAGGAGTGGCACTTCCCTCCAGGCAGTGCCCTGCTGTCACCATGCACCTAATGAACAGTCTCTGGTGTGTGCTTCTCACTTGAAGACTGAACACTCAGAGGAATCTTGGGAGACAGACCTAGCAGTCTGCTCCACTTTGGCCACCGAGACCCCAGGGATCCCTCCTGGGATGCACCGGGGGCTGAGTCTCCTGAGCTTCACAGCAGGGGGACTGCTTTACTTTTTATCAACATGCTCAGTAAGCCTTCACTTAGCTTTTGGAGGTGGGCGCTGCACCCCACTGTGTTCACTGAGGTCTCAGAGGTAGTTTCCTGATTAAGACTTCCTAGGAATCTGGATTGCCAATGCACTTCTTTAACAAAAGACCCTCAAAAACCCTAAAAACAACAGAGGAACGCTGTTGGGTGCAAAATTAGTAGTGGAGCTCCTAGATTGGAAAACACTAAAAAATGAAGAGAATGAGTTACAAACATCCATTAATAATTGGAACATGGAATGTACAAACTATGAATCTATGAAAACTGAAGTTGTAAAAAAATAAATGCAACACATAAAGATCAACATTTTAAGCATTAGTGAGCTGAGATGAACTAGCACAGGCCACTTTGATCATATAATCCATGATCTACAATGCCAGTAATGAAAACTTGAGGAAGAATGGTGTTGCACTCATAATCAAAAAGGCCATATGAAGCTCCATCCTGAAGTACAATGCTGTGAGTGATAGGATACTATGCATATGCATATAAGGAAGACCTGTCAAAACAGTTGTTATTCAACTATACACACCAACAACTAAAGTCAAATAGGAGGAAACAGAAGATTTCTACCAAATTCTACAGTCTGAAACTGAACAAATATGCAATCAAGATTCATTAATAATAATAACTGGTCCTGGAATGCAAAAGCCAGACCCAAAAGAAAAGGCCTGGGAATCAGAAACAACAGGCTTGGTGACAGAAAGGGGAATGGAGAATGAATGACTGAATTTCATACAATGAATGCTTTATTCATTGCAGATAACTTTTTTGAAGACCCTTGACCAGGTGGATTGACATGATGACTGCCGCAACGGGCTCTAAGGTTTCATGAAGTATAAGGATGGCACAGAATAGGACAGGCTTCAGATCTGTTGTTCATAGGGTCGCTATGGGTCATACTTGATTAGATGGCATCTAACAATAACAACATAACAATACTTTTTAAAAAAACATAAACAAGGACTATATACATGGACCTCACCTGATGATGGGACTGCACAGGAATCAACAGAGTATATATGTTGAAAGAATTGTTGAAGCAGCTACCAGTATCAGCCATCAAAACCAGGCCAGGTGCTGACTGTGGACCAGACTATCAATTACTCATGTGCAAGATCAAACTGTAGTTGAAGAAAATTAAAACAAGTCCACAAAAAAAAGAATACAACTTAGAGTCTATCCCACCTGAATTTAAAAACCATCTCAAGAATACCTCAAGATCTGAGGCATTGAACACTACTGATTGAAGACCAGAATAGTTGTGTGAAGACATGAAGAATATCATCCACGAAGAGAGCAATAGGTTATTACAAAGATAGAGGACGGGGGAAAAAGACCAAAATGGGAGTCAGAAGAGTGAAAATTGCACTGAGCATCAAGAAGCCTACAAAAGGAAGAGATGTTAAAGTAAAAAAAGCTGAACAGAAGATTTCAAAGAGAAGCTCAAGAAAACAGAGCAAAGTATTGTAATGAAATATGCAAAGAGCTTCAAAATCCTAGTCTCCAAGAAAAAACATGGTATTAATCTCTCCAAAACAGACCTGTTTGTTCTCCTAGCAGTCCATGGTATGGTCAATGCTCTTCTCCAGCACAACTCAAAGGTATCAATTTTTCTGTCATCTTTAGTCACTGTCCCGCTCTCTGATGCATAGCAAGTAATTGCAAAGACCATGATGGCCTGGATCAGGTGCACCTTAGTCTCTAGACTGACATCTTTGCTTCTCAGCACTCTGGAAAGGTCCCTGACAGCAAATTCTCCCAGTGCAATTCATCTTTTGATTTCCTGACCGCTGGTGCCAAGAGCATTAACTGTGAGCCACGTGAGCTGAAATGGTTGACAACTTCAATCTCTTCTCTGTCTATCATTTTGCTGCCAAGTGGCCCAGTGGTGAGAATCTTTGTCCTCTGGATGTTGAGCTTCAATCCACATTGAAGACCACACTCCTTGACTTTCTGCAACAAGGGCTTCTGAACCTCCTCGGTTTCAGCAAGCAAGGTTGTGTCATTTGCATAATGTAGCTTGTTGATGAGTCTTCCTGCAATCCTGATGCCACATAAAGCCCAGCCTCCTGAATGATCTATTCTGCATATAGACTGAAAAGGTATGGACACAGGATGCAGCCCTGATGCACTCTTTTCCTTATTTTGAACAATGCAGTGTTTACTTGCTCTGTTCCGAGGACTGCTTCCTGGTCTGAGTATAGGTTTCACAAGAGCACAGTCAAGTGTTCTGGAATTATCATTCTCCTCAAGGTTAGTCAAAATTTTTTGTGATCCACATAATCAAATGCCTTTGCACAGTCAATAAAACACAGTAGACATTCCTCTGGTATGCTCTGCTTTCGGCCCAGATCCATTTGACATTGGGGATAATGTCTCTAGTGCCATAACCTCTTCTAAACCCAACTTGTATTTCTAGCAGTTCTCTACTGATGTACTGTACCAGTCATTTTTTAATAATCTTCAGCAGGATGATTTTGCTTGTCTGTGACATTAGTGATACTGTTCAATCATTTCCACACTCTTTCGGGTTACCTTTTTTTGGAATGGGAATAAATATGGATCTCTTCCAGTAAGTTGGCTAGGTAGTTGTCCTCCAGATTTCTTGGCATACCCTGCTGAGCACGTCCAGGGCAGCATATGTTTGTTGAAATATGTCAACAGGTATTCCACTAATTCCTGGGGACTTGTTTTTTGCCAACTGGCTTCAGAACAGCCTGAATTTCCTCCTTCATCATCATTGCCTCTTTCTTTTTTTAATACTAGTTTATTTTAAAAATTCAAGCACATTGTTTTTCACACCAGACCATTCCAATTTCCCTCAACACCCCCACCCATCAAATTTTACAACCCCATGATTAATTCCCTGGTCCCCACCCCCACACAGCCTCACGCATCTGCTTCCTTGAGAAGGACTGGAGAGCATTATGCTGAGTGAACTAACTCAGTCCCACAAGGACAAATACTGTATAAACTATTATTGTAGAATGAGTATGAGGATCCAAGGTGGGGGGAAGGTGGCACCATTGCCTCTTGATCATATGTTGTTTCACTAAATTCTTCTGTGTCAGCCAGTTCTTTTTGGTACAGTGACTCTATGTACTCCGTCCATCTTTTTTTTTAACTCTATTTTTGTTCATTCTCTTAAAGCCTTATGATCCCACAATTTACAAATTTGTGCCAAAAATATATTATAATAATATAATATAATATAACATAACATTATATTATATTATTATGTAATTTATTATATATAATAATAATAATATAGCTCCTCTACCATAATCCTATCCCCAAGAAAGGTGACCCAACAGAGGGTGAAAACTATAGAACAATCTCACTGATTTCACATGCAAGCAAGATTTTACTGAAGATTATCCAAAAACGACTGGAACAGCACATCAGCAGAGAACTATCAGAAGTCCA